AAAAATTTCGTTGTTATCTCGAACTACAAGAGTTCGAAGTGATAACAGACCATTCCTCTTTAGTCTGGCTGATGAAGCAACAAGACTTAACAGGACGATTGCCAAGATGGGTTTGGAGATTGCAGGGTTATAAGTTTTCAATAAGTCACAGGAAAGGGAAGAACAATGTAGTCCCTGATGCTATATCTAGGATTCCCTGTGAGGATTTGGCAAGCTTAGAAATGACTGAACCAGAGATAGATCTAAATTCTAGACATTTTCATGATCAAGACTAGAACTTGTTATTATACAGGTGATGAAGACCAAGAGTCTGAGGCCTGGAAATTATGGATCTCTGAAAAAATGCGAAATACAATAATATAAAGATTCCATGACTCTCCAATCACAACTCATGGTGGTATCGCTAAAACGTTAGAACTTATTAGGCGGAAATTTTATTGGCCTGGTTTAGTTCGCGATGTACGTAAATACATAAAGGAATGCGAAATTTGTAAGACAACAAAAGCTCCAAATTTTATAACTATACCCAATATTGGTAATCCTACGATATCTACAAGACCATTTCAGCGTTTATACGTTGATATATTAGGACCATATCCACGCAGTAAGCAAGGTCATATAGGAATTTTAATTGTCCTTGATCACTTAACTAAATTTCATTCGCTACAGCATCTTAAAAAATTTACTGCTTCAGTAATTCAAGATTTTCTTTGAAAACATATTTTTATATCTATAGCGTGCCTGAAATTTTAGTTAGTGATAATGGCTCACAATTTAAAGCCAATGAATTCAACTCCTTTCTGACTTCTTTAGGCATTCAACATATGTATACCGCGATATATTCCCCACAATCAAATGCCTCAGAAAGAGTGAATAGATCAATTATATCTGGTATTCGATCATATTTAAAAAAGGATCAAACTTTTTGGGATAGTAATCTGAAGGCGCTTTCAATAACGTGCTCATTGATACCCTTATCCAATCCCTAGACCAGTTTTGTGTTGACCGGGTGCTCCGTAACTGGATCAACTACATGCTAAGGAACAGATGGATAAGCTGCGAGATGTACGATATAACTATCAGGAAAAAGGTATTTCACGGTATACCACAGGGTGGCATTTTGTCACCTTTACTCTGGGTTACCACGATTAATTGCCTCCTAAGGACCCTAACCGAGAAAGGACTTAGACCTGTCTGCTATGCAGACGATGTCGTAATACTTTTAAAGGGAAAGGATCCAAATTACTTGTGTAGAAGAGCTGAGGAGGCTCTGAATACGGCCTTGAGCTGGGCTCAACCGAGAGACCTCAATGTTAACCCGGCGAAGACGGAAATCTGTCTTTTCACAAGAAAGACAAAAATTTCTACATATACTGAACCTTGCTTCCTGGGCAAGAAGATACCGGTGACAGACAAAGTTAAGTACTTAGGTGTAATACTTGACCGGAAATTAAAATGGAGACACCACATAGAGGATAGGATCAACAAGGCACATCGGTGCTGGGCGATATGTAGGAGAACCATAGGCATGATATGGGGTCTTAGTCCTACTATGACAAATTGTCTTTATAAAAGTGTAATTAGACTAATCCTAGCTTATGCTTCAATAATCTGGTGGACTGCTTTGGACAAAAAGTGTAATATCAAACTACTACCAGTATGAATCCGTTGCTACATGGATGGCTCTAAATTAGGGGACAAAGTGGGCCTGGGGTTCTATATTGAAGATCCAGAAACAGAAATATACCACCGTTTACCTAATCATAACACAAGCTTCCAGGCAGAAGTACGAGCAATAACGGAATGTGTAAATTGGATTAGAATAAATATGGCGCCCACAGGGCTTAATATATTTACCGACAGCCAGAAGGCAATTAGTGCGATATCAGGTGATAGAATTAAATCTAAGACCGTATTGGGTTGTAAGAAAGCTTTAACTGAATACTCTCCCAGAGGTAAGGTTCACATCATATGGGTACCAGGCCACTCGGGAGTAGTCGGCAACGAAAGGGCGAATGTAATAGCTTTAACGGGAAGGGAGCTCGATGTAGTTAACCTGACAAACGCAAAACCATTCGACGGAACAAAAGCTGAATTAACAAGTAAGAGTGCTATATTCGGCTGTGCCGAATCTTATATACCCTTAACCACAGTGTATTTAAAAAATATAAATTTTATAAAATTTAAATTTATGTACCTATTTAATTTTCCCGATTATATCATTATTATAGCAATAGCAAAACAAAATGAACAACAACAACGCTAAACGAAATAAACACTCAAAAAACAAAATACACAAGGCAGTAAAACCAACAAACGAAACTGTACACCAACAAACAAAAACAATATACACAAGGCAATGAAACACACAGCCATCCAAACATACAAAACTGAATACACCAAGAAACAAAAACAATATACACATGCCAATGAAACACACAGCCATCCAAACATGTGAAACGAAATACTCAATGAATAAGCAGTGGTGTTGTTGTTGCTTATTAATCAAAGCATGAAAAAATTGTATTTTTTAATGAAATTTTCAGAGGTTGTCTCGGATTTTTGCTTATATCTACGTCATTTATGGACCGATTTTGCTGATTTTAAATAGCGATCTTCTCGAAAGCATGTCTAACAGAATTATTGAAGATTCGGATCTCGCCGATATCTGGGGTCCTCTAAAAACTGATTTCAACAGACAGACAGACAGACGGACAGACAGACAGACAGACGGACATGGCTTAATCGACTCCGCTATCTATAAGGATCCAGAATATATATACTTTATAGGGTCGGAAAGTTATATTATAGAAATTACAAACGGAATGACAAACTTATAAATACCCTTCTCACGAAGGTGAAGGGTATAAAAATATGGATGACGGAATCCCATAAGGCCTCTTGGAATATTGAAACGGTGGGTAGAACCACAAAGATTCTATGGGGTGACCCTGATGAGAGCAAGACGAAAAATCTCCTCAAAATGAGCAGGTCTGAGGTTAGTATGATGGTACGTATTCTGAGTGGACACACAGGATTACGAGCACATCTATACAAAATTGGACGTGCAGATTCAGACGAATGTAGAGCATGTGGAGAGGACAGTGAAACTCTGGAGCACTTTCTTTGCCATTGTCAGGCATTCGTCGAAGTTAGATCCAAGTATCTTGGAAGTGATGTTATTCCAGAAATAACATTCTTAACCAACACCGATTGGAAGATTCTTTGGAATTACGTCCAGGAAACTGAGTTTCTGAATATGGAAAAATAATACATTCAGAGGACAATTTTTTTTTTCTTGAATTGGAGCGCACAACAGCCCCGATAGTGGCTTAGGTGTATTTCTTCGGATTTGATGTAATATACATCCTCCTATCAACCTAACCCTAACCTAACCCTAATCTGAGTTACATAAGCTGTGCTCTGAGATATTCTTTTCATCAAGCTATAAAATGTTCCCCATACCACGCTGTATTTGGTCAGGAGATGATTACCCATGCTAGTAGTTACGAATTGCTTAAAAACCTCAAGGTATTAGACGAGCCATTATTACAATTACATAGAGATGATCAGTTACAACTTCTTCGTAAAGATATTCAAGCTCATATTACTAAGGCTTATGAGATTAACAAGAACCAATATAATTTAAGAGCTCGGCCCATCTCATATAATGTAGGTCAATTTGTGTTTCGTAGAAACTTTGCTCAAAGCAATTTTGAGAAAAAATTTAATGCGAAATTAGCTCCATCCTTTCTTAAGGCAAAAATAAAAGAGAAGGTAGGAAATAATTACTATATTCTGGAAGACACTGAACGAAAAGTTATTGGCACATATCATGCTAAAGATTTAAGACCTTAACATTGTATTTCCTCATAATATTGTCACCCAATGGGTCAATATTACGCGGTTTGTAGTGAATGATTTTTCTTTAAATAGTTGAAATGAACAATTCCAATATTTTGTTGAAAATTCAAACACATTAGTGTTATTTTTAGACTTTGTTTTCTTATCATAATTTACATATTTATTTTGAAAACATACATGCTCAATTTAAGATAATATTCATGCAAATAATTAGTTTTTTTAATTCGATTTTTCTACAAATTCTGTAAATGCAATATTTTAAAAGTTAAGTATCTAAAAATGTTTTACTTTAACACATTTAATTTTATAAAAACATTAAATTTGTTTTAGGCGAAATGTGATGATGATGTTGTTAATTTAAATTTGAAAACCTTAAAGTTGCATTGTGAAAGTTGCAATTTAACTATTTTTATACCCTCCACCACCATCAGTGGTGATAGAGGGTATATATAAGTTTGTCGTTCCGTGTGTAACACCAAGAAATATTCATCTAAGACCCAACAAAGTATATATATTCTGGGTCCTTATCAAATTCTGAGTCGATTTAGCTATGTCCGTCTGTCCGTCTGTCTGTCTGTCTGTCTGTCTGTGTAAAACACGCTCACGTTAAAACTAAGCAAAGGAAATAAACCAAATTCACCCAAAATATTTATTATTATCCTAAGCAGTTTGGTATTGAAAATGAGCAAAATCAGTTCACATCGTAAAAAGTTATGAGTAAAAGTTTCAGACTACCTCGAAAAAAATTACGTTTTTTTCATAATTCTTTTGAAGTTTTCTCAGAAACTACCAAAGATATTTCGATGAATTTTGTCGCACATTATTTTTTCAGGGTAGTGATCAATTATATTCAAAATCTTTACAATCGATCCAATATTTCCCATAGCCCCCATACAAAGTTATATATTCCCGGAAATTAGTTTATCGTTAATAACTCCCTCAAATATATCGGTATCAACACGAAATTTTGTACGTGTAAATATAATATGAACAGAAATTATACTGTCAACGCAGATCTCAGTCGGTCCACAATTGGTCATAGCTCCCATATAAGGTCCACTTCCGAAAATCACCTAAACGCATATATTTCATTGATGAATAAAGATATTGCGATAAAATTCGAGTTGGATATGTTTTGTGTACATACAAATCATTCTACCAAATTTTTTACGGATCGGTCCATTATTGGTCATAGCTCCCATATAAGGCCCACTTCCGAAAATCATTTAAAAGCTCATATTTCATTGTCAACTAAAGCTATTTTGATGAAATTCGACACAAATATGTTTAGTCGAAATATAAATCACTCTACGAAATTTTTTCCGAATATGTCCATAATTGGTCATAGCTCCCATATAAGGTTCACTTCCGAAAATCACTTAAACGCATATATTTCATTGAATTATAAAGCTATCGGGATAAAATTAGACACAAATCTGTTTTGTATACATACAAATCATTCTACAAAATTTTTTACTGATCGGTCCATAATTGGTCATAGATCCCATATAAGGCCCACTTCCGAAAATCACTTAAAAGCACATATTTCAATGTCAAGTAAAGCTATCTTGATAAAATTCGACACAAATATGTTTTGCCTAAACATGAATCACTCTACGAAATTTTTTCTGGATAGGCCCATAATTGGTCATAGCTCCCATATAAGGTCCACTTCCGAAAATCACTTAAACGCATATATTTCATTGAATTCTAAAGCTATCGGGATAAAATTCGACTTGAATATGTTTTGTGTACGTACAAATCATTTTACAAAATTTTTTACGGATCGGTCTATTATTGGTCATAACTCCCATATAAGGTCCACTTACGAAAATCACTTAAAAGCACATACTTCATTATCAAATAAAGATATCTTGATAAAATTCGACACAAACATGTTTTGTCCAAATATGAATTACTCTGCGAAATGTTTCCCGAATAGGCCCATAATTGGTCATAGTTCCTTTATAAGGTCCACTTCCGAAAATCACTTATACGCATATATTTCATTGAATTCTAAAGCTATAGGGGTAAAATTCGACTTGAATAAGTTTTGTGTACATATAAATCATTCTACCACTTTTTTCTCGGGTCGGTCCATTATTGGTCATAGCTTCCATATAAGGTCCACTTCTGAGAGTCACTTAAACACACATATTTCATTGTCAAATAAAGTTAATTTGAGAAAATTCAAATAGGTCTACTTCAAAAAATCCCTTAAACGCACATATTTAATTATCAAATAAAGATATCTTGATAAAATATGATTTGTGCACATATGAATCACTCTGCCCTTAATTGCTCATAGCTCCTATATAAAGTCCACTTCCTAAAGTCACCTAAACTCACATATTTCATTGATTAATAAAGCTATTGAAGTAGAATTAGATTTGATCTTTTTCTGCATAAAAATCATTATACTAAATTGTTTCTTGATCAGTCCATAATTGGTCACAACTCCCATATTCTGTGTATAGCTACATCATTCTATTAAAATGTTTTCGAACTGGCGTATTAATATACATTTTTTTGGACCTAATCAAAATTAGTTCGACAAAAATTTTGGCAAGTTATCTAAAAATTAGATAGTTAGATGGGTTTCAATAAAAAGTAGCTGGTGGAGGGTATTTAAGATTCGGCATAGCCGAATATAGCACTCTAACTTGTTTTTACAAAACTTTTATTTTTATTTATAAAATATTCGTTGATTTTGGTAGTGGCAACGCTAGATTAATCTTTGATTAATGCCATCTTCAGCCGCATTTAACGCTTGTTCAATTTCTTCCACATCGCATATCAACGCATGTCGACGTATGTATATTCGGCAGGAAATTTCGTTGACATATCTTTGGTAGTTTCTGAGAAAACTTCAAAAGAATTAGGAAAAAAAACGTAATTTTTTTCGAGGTAGTCTGAAATTTTTACTCATAACTTTTTACGTGGTGAACTGATTTTGCTGATTTTCAATACCAAACTGCTTAGGATAATAATAAATATTTTGGGTGAATTTGGTTGATTTCCTTTGCTTAGTTTTAACGTGAGCGTGTTTTACACAGACAGACAGACAGACAGACAGACGGACAGACGGACAGACGGACATAGCTAAATCGACTCAGAATTTCATAAGGATCCAGAATATATATACTTTGTTGGGTCTTAGAAGAATATTTCTTGGTGTTACACACGGAACGACAAACTTATATATACCCTCTATCACCACTGATGGTGGTGGAGGGTATAAAAAGTATGTATATTAAGTAATTTGTATTTAACGAAAATCTAATATATTTACTTATCTATTATATGTACTTAGGAATTTCAACATACAGATGTAAAATTATAAATAAAATTGAATTATTGAATTTTATATTTGTTGTTCACAATCTTATAAAAACTGGGCGCTCGGGCAAATTCCCGTAACAAAATTGAAATTCTTTTTTAAAATTCAATAAAGAAATTTCTGGTTCACGTATTGCCAAACATAACCTCAATTGCAGTAGAACGTTATCAGTAGCTGTTCACTACACCCAAAGGGAACTCATATCCAACTGGCAGAAACCGTAAGTTCCACAAAAATGGATAAATCTTCTTTTCAGGGTCAACCACCACAACCTCACCAAGAACCTGCTACCACATCACCACCTACAGCAAATTGTCTAGTTTGTAACGAACCACCTACGACCCAATGTATATCATGTAATAAGTGTCAAAAAAAGTACCACTTAAAATGTATTAATTTGGAGAATAACCAACAACCATTTACCTGCGATAATTGCACCAGTAAAAGGCTAACTCCAGGCTCACCAAAATCTATACGTAGTCAACGGAGCAGAATCTCCAACACTTCAACAATCTCAACCATTCGAAGGAAAAACTTAGAACTTCAGCGTCTTGAAGAAGAAAGGCAGCTTGCTAAAGAACGAGACACCGAATTCTTAAAGCAAAAATATAAATTGCTACAACAAACCGAAGAAGAGGATGTTGACACAAGCTCACAAGATCTCAACTCCGTACATGAGTGGCTAAACACTCAGCCAAATCCGCCAAACTCATCGGAAACAAACCCACATTTTTCTGCACAAAACTGCCCAACAGAGAATCAACATGTAACTTTTACAACCTCAATGTTAAATCAGTGTCAAGTAGCAACTCAAACTTCACAAAATAATATGCCAATTAGTTATACAAATTTAAATTTTCACAATAAAACACAAAATGATCTGTTAACATCAACTTCATACAACAATACAGGCACATTTATTAATACAGAGACTACACAGCCACAAACAACAACAGCAGCACAGCACAACATGTCTCTACCAGCAACAAATAATTACACCTTTCGCCCGTCATTCTCGTCTGTTCCGCATAATAATATAACTTCAAATCTTACACATCAACAAATAAATTCGAGGCAAACGGTCCCAAAGGATTTGCCAATATTTACCGGCAATCCAGAAGAGTGGCCGCTTTTTAGCTCCACGTACGACTGGTCCACGGCAGTATGTGGCCTGACAGACGCTGAAAATTTAATTCGCTTGCAAAGTGCTCTAAGAGGAGACGCTCTAAAGTCTGTTCAGCACATTCTAATTCACCCATCTTGCGTTCCAGCTGCAATCTCGACACTTAAACTGTTGTATGGACAACCAGAAAAAATTCTGCATGCACTAAAATTGAAAATACGAACATTACCAACTGTTAATGTCAACAAGCTGGATACAATTACCTCGTTTGCTGTCCAAGTAAAAGGTCTTCAAGCTACAATAGAGGCCTGTGGTCTTCTTGAGGAACTCAATAATCCTTCATTGTTACAAGAATTGATTTCCAAATTGCCTTCATATTTTCAGACAAATTGGAGAACGTATCAATTAAAATTAACAAAAGAAAACAAAAATGTAAATCTGTCAGAATTTTCTGATTGGATTTTTGACATTGGTGTTTCTGCAAGCAGCGTCAACATAGAGAGTAGTACAAGCTCTGCCGCAGAGGCTCTC